TATGTGAATCCCACACAGATGGTGTCTTACTAATGAATAACAAGAGTTTTTCTTAAATGTGTTCCAGGTTCCTTCTGATAAATCCGACAGTAAAAGTAAATAAAGTAAAACTTTATTTTGCCACCGGGTCAGCCTTCGTGATAATGCTACTAACATATAACGAATATTAAACTTGATCGAGATCTTTAAAGAGTTCCACTCCTAAATATTGGTTTTGTTTGTAGTGTTTATTTATTTTTGCACGGGCCCTCTTCCGACTTTTTTCTCTCTGGACTCATTGAAGAACGACATCTGATTATTGACTTAATTAGGAGCCTAGGAAGCTTAGGCCCGGTCGTCCATACTACACCGGAGGAAATTAAAAACGCAACAATCACCGGTCGTTTTATATTTTTGTTTGAGTAAATCTCGGCCAGGGAAATCACGTGGTTCTCTTGTTCCTATCGTATTCGAAAAGGTCTATTTTAAAATGTTTTCCGTCCACACGAAAACTCAAAGCACGCGTTTTCAAATTCCTCCGGTTTGACGAGCCTTTTCGAAAAGCTCCGTTTTCGTGACGGATTACTCTGGACCGTAGGCCTAACCGTGGAAATAAAGCTGTATGCGCTTTTAAATTCCTCAGGCGTAGTGTGGACGGAGTCTGGAGCAAACCACAACGTCAATATGAGCACCATCAAACAAAAGGTTTAATGAGCAAAACAAAGGCTGTACAAGTGTGTTCAGTAAACCTTCATACATTTCATAGCAGTCCTCTGCAAAACAACAACGCAAAATGACCGCAAACGCGAACGACGGGTCGAACTGCTAATTTTTCGTATTTCTATTTAGAATTGAACGCTGTCTTTACAACTTTAGCCTGAGCGAGGTCTTAGAGCCATAGCCATCCTAGAAAAATTCAATTTTACAAGGCGTTGTCCTCGGCGTCGCCGTCGTCATTGTTAAGATCCCTTTACGCTGTATTCGCATCTCGGATCCTGGAAGGTCGATACACTTGTTTAACCACTGAGGTCTGTCATCCTAAGTGGCTGTTTTGTATTTTGCTCATGTTTTATCCCAAGACCAGTCGAACGCAGATGAGAGCGTTTCGGTAGGAAGTTTTTCTCTCCTGCTGAAACAATCTCGTTTACGTTACTTCGCCGATGCAATACCTTGTCATCTTCACCATTACTACACGGCAATCGTTTGCATCTTCTTCTTCAGTATAGCTTAAGGCTTTGATTACTTAAAGGCCATCGTCATCAATAACGTCCTTGATACTCGGCGCTTTCCCGCTCCAAACCAAGTAATTCAGTATTTCTCTTTCCATAGCTTCCAGTTCTCGGGGATCTCGCTACTTAATTGACATCAAATCTAAATGTTGCAGAGACAATGATATCTGGTGGAATAACATTGAAAATTGTGATGCTTTAGGCAGCGAGGCACGGGAAGTTGTTTTCGCTCGTAGGCATTCGTAGACAGTGGACGTTGTCGACGAATTTGAATTACCTTTTCGCTGCAACATGTAATATTAGCTGGCAGAGAGAACCTTAAACGAACCTCATCAATCAAGGCCATCGTCATCAATAACTACTTACTGTAGCTCAAGGCGTATTTTAATATATAACTGTATGTATAGCATAAATTACAAAGCCGTTACAGAACATAAGCGTGCATACAAAGAATGTTTGGCAGACTAGCATATTATAACCTTAAATTATGGTATGTCCGCCATTCTGAATAATCAAATCCAGCCGGTGTCAGAAACTCGTTTGTCCAGTTTGGCTATGACGTCAGTGTTTTTTCATTGGCTCACAGCCAAGCCTTTTGTTCTTTCCTTTATAAGTGCGACACCACCCGGATGGTTGGGCGGCTAATTAATTCAACTGCAATATACACATCTCTCTTAATCTCTCTTAAACAATACCTCCTGGATATACAATCAAGTATTCTTCCTCAACAACCCCCTCTAAATATCCCCCCAATATCCCCTCACAGCCTGCATTTCATAAATCCCCGACATATACCTACACAGCCTACAATTCATTAATCTCCGACATATACCTACACAGCTTACATCTCATTAATCCCCCACATATACCTACACAGCCTACAGCTCATTAATCCCCTACATATGCCTACACAGCCCACATCTCATTAAATCCCCAACATATACCTACACAGCTTACATCTCATTAATCCCCCACATATACCTACACAGTATACATCTCGTTAATCCAACACATATATCTACACAACCCACATCTCATTAAATCCCCTTCATCTACCTGCACAGCTTACATCTTACAGCTTACAGCTTACATTAATCCCCCACATATACCTACACAGTATACATCTCATTAATCACCCACATATACCTACACAGCTTACATCTCATTAATCCCCCACATATACGTACATAGGCTACAGCTCATTAATCCCTCACATTTGCCTACCCAGCCTACATCTCATTAATCCCCCAAATATACCTACACAGCCTACATCGTATTTATCCCCCACATATACCTACACAGCCTACAGCTCATTAATCCCCTACATATGCCTACACAGCCCACATCTCATTAAATCCAAACATATACCTACACTGCTTACATCTCATTGATCCCCCACACAAAACTACACAGCCTACATCTCATTGATCCCCTACATATACCTACACAGCTTATATCTCATTAATCCCCCACGTATACCTACACAGCTTTTATCGTATTAATTCGCAACATATACCTACACAGCAATACATCTCAGTAATCCCCTATGTATACCTACACAGCCTACATCTCATTTATCCCCCACATATACCTACACATCTTTCATTGTATTAATTCCCAACATATACCTACACAGCAATACATCTCATTAATCCCGTACATATACCTGCACAGCCTACATCTCATTTATCCCCCATATATACCTACACAGCTTTTATCGGCCACATCTCATAAACCTCTTACATTTAACTTCATAGTTTACATTTCATTAAATCGTTTCTAGAGTCATTACTCATTACATTTTGTGGTTATCAACTCATGTAAACCAAGTGGTCTTAAGATATCTCGGAACAAGTAAATTGACTGTCGCTATTCAAATAATCCGTTCACTCTTAGCCCGGGAACAGGCTCCCGGTTGGGTTAAAGGGTTTAGTGCAAACTAGCCAAGTGTGGTCTAGGACGAGCGGGAAGAACTGAGAGCGGAATGGTGAGCGCAATTCGAGAATTCTTTTAACGGCTCGCTTCGCTCGCCGGATTGTTTTTTTTTTTTTCTCCCTCGCTGGGAGCTTTCATGTTCGCAAGCCAGTTCACTTGCCGTGCGTTCAGCCGTTCGAACGGATACCGTAAGGAAAGTTTTCGCGTGAGTGGTCGCATATTTGCCGATGCATTTTTGTGGTTGAATCGGCAGAGTTCTTCTTTTAACGACGCTTTTAGGGTCGAGAAAGTAAAATTGGCGATGTACTTACTTCTTTTTACGTGACGCGTGATTGGTGAAAGAAATTCTCCGTGATGCGTGATTTAATTGAAAAATTCAGCGTAATGCGTGATTGGTACCCCACCTTTGCACCCTCCATATTGATAATTTCACGGTTGTTTGCGCGAACAGTCAGTGAAAATGGTGGGCGATAGATTCGTCTATATAATGAAAGGAAATTTCTTGATAGTTTGAAGAGATGAATTTTATGGGTCTTTTATTTTCTCGTAACAAACACGATATTTCACCACTTGAAAATGAAATTTATATAATCGCGCCACCGTGTAACACCCTCTATAGACTGTTCCAAATAGATAGGCATCTCTTAAATTTAAATTTCTTTTTCCCGCATGATATGGTCAAAAAGGGGGGTGTCGTCGTGGGGAAAACCTCCACTGATTCCGACTTGATTACTCATCTCTCCAGACGTCAACAGTTCATTTTCGCGGATTTGTTGAGCTGTTGAGTTGTCTTTTGGCTCTGTGTCAAAACCAGTCTTCATGAGAAACAATTCATACGAAATTGAGTTCCGTCTACAGGTTCATTTTCATGCAAATCAAACTCATTTTCGTTAGAAAGGTTTTGCAAGAAGACTCGTTTTGAAACAGAGGCACAAGGTAAACTCGGAAATGAAATATTCTCCATATCAGTCTCATGGTTTTAGAAATGAAAATATCTGCTGTCACGAAGCTTGACACTGATGCAGTGTATGAACTGCGCCATTCCATCTTATACACAAGCTTAACTGCTTTGTGGAGAATCGAACTGACCTTTTCTACAGTTGATCAGGTGATCTACGTCGTATTTATATATATGGTTTGTTTTGGCATCAAGCAGCTAACGAATTTGCCAATTTATCAATAAATCAAATCCTTTACAGCAAATAGAAATAATTAAACATTTCTTGCCGTGATGACTTTGGTCTCAGCTATGTTAATACTGAAATTATTATTAGCCTGTGAAAACAGTTAAAATTGACCCGCTTGCTTGCTTATAACTAGACCTAGAGATAACTTTCCCTGATCTTAGACAAAACAGTGAAATACTTTTGGCAGGTCTTGGCAGCTGTAGTTGGGGTGTAGTTGTGGTCAATTTCACGACCATTTCACCACGTGAAGTTCATTTTCCATGGAATTAATTAATCTTATCCTCTAAAACAAAGCAACCCGCTGATTGTTTGGTTTTTTTGTTTTTGTTATCATGATGAACAACCTTTCAAACACAGTGTTCAACTATTTTTCTTTTGAAATGGGAAAAACCTCCAAAGAATTTTCGTGTTTTTTGCCGTTTTATGCCAAGAAATATATGTCAAGGAAATATTTTCGATCATTATTTAAAAACTGATCTGTCGCAACAGAATGGCTTTCAATCATTTATATACACCTGTGTTTACCCTGATATTGTTTGAAACAGAAACAGCACATTTTCGTCAAAAATAGTTTATTTTCTTGACAGAAATTCGCTCTTTGGCTTCTCCAATTAAGAAAAAAAGCAGTTTACCTCAATAAAAGCCTTTGCCGCCTTGCGTGAATGGAACTTGCAGACACAACTTTACTTCAGCGATTCTGAGGGAAAATCGTTGAAGAGTTGTGGTTAAATTGATTTAACACCTCCACAAGTGTGCATGTTTCCCATGATGATTTTAATCACTGACAGAACTTCACAAGCGATCTGCTAATTCGGAAGAATGTCAAAGGCTCTGATGTCGATCTTAGGGGTTCCGTTTTGCTGCTTTCCTTGTTTTGGGAAAGTCAAAAAGAATCCTCAACTAGGGAGCTCTGTGTTTGATGACTTGTGTGGTGCTAACACAAAGAATTGTCCCTTTTCGATTTTCTCTGGATCGTCTACCAGGTATGTATATTTAACCGTCTTAGAACTGATATCTAAATATTGATTCTCCATAAAGACTGACATACATACCTATTAAAATAACTTTTGAGAATTATTCAGTGTTGTACACCAAGACGGCAACCTACTGTTTATGATCTTCGATATTCTCTTCAGCTGTCAACTTTACACTGCATTGATATTGTATGGAGAAGTTAATACTTGATCGAGTTCCGCAAACTAAATAACATCTGACATTTACGAAACTAACCCGCAAAAAGTCCTTTTATATCAATTTAATTGTAGTAATAAAATTCTATTTTTTTTCTCATCGTTTGGCAATTTTTCATTCTATTTTCGGCTTCGCAATCTCTTTAAGTGCAAAGTGTTTTCTGATTGATAATTCAGTTCAATGTCAAACAAACGATGTGGTGTTCAGAGCCGTAGTCAGAAAAAAATTACGTCTGAGACAATTTCCATCGTTAAATTCTCTTCCTAGGTCTTAAGCAGAGTTATGCTTTCCTCCTCTAAAAAAACACAACAGCAACAAAAACGAAAAGATGACTGATTCAAGAGCGTCGGTTTGCTTCATACTGGCTACGGCCCTGGTGATATTTTCCAATCAATCTTCTCGATTCTATAATTAAATCTTTAGGAACATAAACAAGGCGTTTACTTCTGTGTAAGAAACCAGAGAAAAAAATTGTGTGGTGGACTTAATCTGACAAAATTACTTTTGAACTATCAAGTTTATTGAAGAAAGCAGATACCAGGAAAAGCTCCCTGGCTTAACTTTGCTAAATTTTCAATTTTATCGTTGGACAAGTAAAGAGTGATGATTCTTCCTCTTTCTTCTTTCGGTTTCGTTTTCCCGTGATTGCAAGTCGATGCAGGCTATTCTTATGATAAACTGGATAGGAAGAATTGGTAATCTCATCAGCTAACTTTCAATTTCATTTAGAATTTATCGTCTGAAGGGATAAACTGAGATAAGAGTAACTCATTAAATTTTAAGGTTCTTGTGGGAGTCAGAACGTTTATTTGTTGGCATTGATGAAATTGGAAACAAAAATACCACAAGCCTGCTCAAACTAGCTTCGCAGGACGTTATATTCATTCTGCATAGTCATTCTGCGTCGAATTTGCTACTTTTTTTTTTTTATCGATTAACATTCCCTCACCGGTTGTATCATTTTAATCCTTAGCTCGAATGGTCAAGAGAAAGCTCCAACGAGCAAGAAGAAGAAGACCATTCGGGATTTTTAAAAGGTCTGTCACAATCCTATTTATTACGAAATTAAGAAAACCACCGTCAGATGACAGCGGAAATTTACGTTGTATAATGATTTTATAATACCACAACACTGACAACAGATTTAAGTTAACTAGGGTTTGCACACTCTAGGGGACGTGTTGCGCGGACACAAAGCGTGGACAGGCTGCAGCGACAGTTTTCCTCGTGTGACATGCCCGTTGCTGTGAAAACTTTGCAGGGACAAAAAAAAAAAAAAAAAACTTTGTTGCAGGGACAAAATTTTCCTTTAAAAATCAGCAACCAATCCGCTTCGTGTGCACCGGCTTGAGTATTGTCCCTGCAACATGCGTCCTATGCGCACACAAGGACGGACTTGTCCTTGCTTTACGTTCCTGCAAAGTGTACCTAGCGTGTGTCTACCTTAATTAAAGTCTGCTTGTCAGACTCTCGCAGGAACATTGTTGATTTGTTTTGGGACTTGCAAGTCCATTCTAGCTCGTCCTGTCATATTAATTAACGTTGTCTCCGTCATTTATCCGTATCTGTTTAAAAATGATGCAGTCGAACTTTCCACAAGGGTCCGCAGGTAGACATCCTTGACGCCAGAAATTATCCGCTTAGAAGAGGAGTCATGTTATGGGTGTTTAAGGAATCAGTACAGCGATAGAGAAATTCAAAAAGAGTGGTTAGGCCTTACCTCACTGTGTTTGTCTTCAAACTCTCCGGAATATTGAACTGCCCATTTGCACTTCTTGAAATTGAGTATGCTTGTCTTCTGTTTCGACTGAAAAAAGGTTGTCATCTGATGAAAATATTTCGATTTAGTAAGGCCACGCGAGTATCTTTAGTGCACCCTGAGAGCAGGAGTTTCTCAGCATTGGGAGCCTTCAAGCGTGCAGGGGGAGGAGTAGGTACAAATAAATCCTACCCCTCGGAGGGTTTTCGCACTTTTAAAACTCCAGGAGAATTTAGCTTAAGGATGTTTTAGAAAATATTCTGTAGTCACTATTCATTGATCCCTTGGGAACATTCTGATATGTGAGCTGTCTATGGTTCGCAATCGTGTTTCAATAAGCAGTTTAATTTCAGGGGTAATTTCAGGGGTAATTCTTCGTTCCCAAATTTTCAAGTTTAACATTTTCTCTCCTCCTACACTAGGATTTGCCAGCAGGTACAACTCAGAAATTTGAAAATTAACTCTTAAGTTTAATTTTTGATATATTATACTTCTTTTCTCTACAGGCTATCGTGGAACAATTCATCTGCTTTTGCCGGTTCTTTTTTTGTTATAGGAGTCAATCCGTGGCCACACATCGGAATGCCATTCATTCACTATTAACGTTTTAAGTTGTCACAAATGAAATAAAGTTATGAGAATTGACACAACTTACTAAATGTGTCTCGCCATACTGTAGTTATCGGTAATGTACTAAACCTTTCCTTCACCTGTCACGATCAAAACTACTGGGAAACAACTCCACATCAGGCTTTTAGAGGGAAGGAAAGTATGTTACATACTCTGGAACGAGGGGAATTTTAGAACACGGGAGAAGTCAAGAAAACGAAAATGGTCCTCAGTTTCAATCCACACATTATTAACATTCTCCCCAGACCATCTCTCTATTAGAACGCTCGATCATCGATCGTATGACCTCACAAAAAAACGGGGGTTTAGCATTCTAGTATCACTCACTAAGTGTGCGGATGACATGTTGTTCTCCCCTCCCCCTCCCCCTCTTAGTGACAAAGTTTTTTTAACATTTTTGCAGCGGGACTGCATGGTTAAAATCCAACATTGAAAGGCTGGGAGGCTGGAGAATCTGTCAAACAATATTACTGGCACTGGGATATTTCTTTACTAGCTGCTTTAGTCTGATCAGTGGATATTGAACATTTTCATGTCTTGAAATAATAATAATAATAATAATAATAATAATAATAATGATGATGATGATCATGATGATCATGATGATAATAACAATATTTACAGAGGATATCACCAAGCTAACATTAAGTTAATTAGGGTGTTCATCTATCTACATTACAACAAAAAACCCTCATTCGTTTATTCATTCAAGAAGATTGACAACAAGACAGAGTGTGCACTGAAAATGTATTATGTACATTTGAATCTATAAAATAATTATCGTTTACAATAAAACGTTAATAAGGCATTTTGTTTGCCAATTAAAAGTCCTCTTCGTTTCATCGCGCATTTAGTTTTCCTAGCATAACTAAGGAAATATAACTTGTTAATCCAATTGAGATAAGCAAGTCTACACTAAAGTAGATAGTTCGACAAATTAAATAAGAGTCACGATCAGGACAAATTAAACATATGTTAACGACCATTAACAAAACAGTAGTAATCTAATATAAACAGAGGGGGAAGTACTGAAAAATAATTATTGTGAATTGACGATCATTGATTCGAAACCATTTTTATGTTTGATCAGTTTCGTTCGTTCTTTCATTCTTTTTTTCCCTTCTCCTTTTTCTTCTCTTTTTGTTTCTGTTTTGTTTTGTTTTGTTTTGTTTTTTTTTTCATCTATGAACCTAAAGTTAACACTTCGTCTATTAATTTACTAAATAACTTTTGAGGATAAGACACGAGATTAGAAACACTCTCAAATCCCTAGTAGATTTCTGTTTGCTTGGATGCCGCTTTCGAAAGGTAAGGAACATCGCATGCAATGCTATGTTCTTGCAGTTACTTTAAGAGATTCAATGAGAATCAGCTTTTTCTTGAGAAAGAATAATAACAACTGCTTCCAAATTTGCACCGTATATAAATTGTCTTGATGGGAACTGTTTTCGTAATTCTTGAGTCACCTCCTATCTCATGTGCAAACTGTTACTCCCAAGACAATTAGCCTTGATAACGATTCACGTTCTGTAAATTCCGCTGGTCTCCATACGATGTCCTATACGTTTGATACGTTGCATAAGGATTCGGGTACGGCGACTTTGCTTGAGCGTATTGCCTGTACTGATTGTAGTAGTTATTGGACTGAGCAGCTGGGTAATAATTGCGGTATCTATAAGCGGCCGGTGCCACACGAGGCGCCGAGTAAGAAAGTGGTCTCATGCTGTTCTGTTCAGCACTCCGGCCTATACAGCATCTTACGGAACACACTGGTGCACATGTACTTGGACACGATCCTGGACAGGTTGGAGGAGGAGGGAGTGCTGGAGGTGGCATGGGGTAGTACACTGGCGCGGGGGGAGGTGGTGGTGGCGGACTGCAGCATGATTGAGAACAAGCTGGAAAGCATTGCGCTGGACATGCTCCAGGACATGTTGGTGGGAGGATAGGAGCGGGAGGAGGAGGAGCAGGTGGTGGGGGAGGGGGCGGTGGGGGAGTGCAGCAGCTGATGTCACATCTGGGAAAACACTTGGATGGTTTGTGGCATGGTAGGGAGCACACCTGGAGACGAACAGAATTAATAAAATGCAATCGGTCAAAGTCATGGTGACAAAATAATTACCATACATGTGACAAATACAACGCTCATTATTTTTGTGTATGACTAGAAATCTTGTATTTGTTGTTTTTGGTGTTGTTGTTGTTGTTGTTGTTGTTGCTGTTGGTATCAAAGAATCTTGAAGATTTGGCTTTTGGAAGAAAAATGTGTGATACAATACAATGCTTAAAAGAAATATATTGGTAACATGGATATTAACAAAGTAATGTAGTACTAAAGGAGTTATGAATGAGATTCTGTGCAAATTTACATGTTCTACTCAAAATGGCCCGCGACCATCTGTAATAATTTATGCAGTCATGCAGTCAGGGGAACAGTGTTCGCTTTCAGCGATTCACATAATCCAATCCAAAGATATAGCCTGAGATAGCGAGCACTGGCGAGTTGTCCAGTCAGTTAGTCGCTTCCAGGCCACGTCATGCAAGAATATTTTGGAGGAAAACTAGGGACCCATTATTCATTTCTCGAAGATGGATTCTGACGAGAGAAAAGTGGTACGTAGCTTTACAGTTTAACAAATCGACTCACCGGCACAATTTTAGGGTGCTGTATGCAGCGGTAGACAACTCTGGCATACTTATAGACATCAGGACAAATAATATTGTTCTTTTAACCAAGAAAGACATTAGTAGCTGCCACAGAACAATTATTTTCTCCTTGGCACAGGTCGAACAACTTCTTATTGACTCGATGTTCTTCCGCCACGCAATATCCCTTGGAAGGAAGGACTTTGTGTTGGCATGTCTTGTTTTCGTCTCTTCCGTAGAATGTACTGTATAATGCGATACGATCATACCTGGGAAATAAATTAATCCAGGCATGGATTAACAGTGATGTCGTATCTAAACAAGAAACCTAATCTGATTACAACAACCCATTACAAGCTCTGAGTTCTTTACTCACTGACGAGATTTGTAAAAACACAGCCTGACTGCAGTGAATATAAGATGGCTGTGATAAATAAGCCACTGCAATTTGATTGTTCTAGAAACAACAACAAAAAAAAATTCACCAGTAACACTGGTACAGAGAATTTACTACACCTAATACAGAGAATTTCTGGATCTAAAACACACAAAAAATTCCCTTTTTCAGATACTTGGACTATGTCATATAATTTTCTCACTTGTTAGGACATTTAATCTTCAGTTTATGTCCTTCACAAGCCACTGCCACTTGTTGCTTTCTTTTCATATACAAAGGCATCGGAGGAGGCTTGGGTTCACAACATGACGTAGAACACTGAGGGTAGCATTCCTTTGGACAATACGACGCACAGGGAGGGGGTGGGGCAGGTGGAGAAGGAGCAGGAGCGGGAACGGGAGAAGGGGAAGGGGAAGGAGTGAGCGAGAATGCCGGAGCTGGGGCTGGGGCGGGGGGAACCTGAATGTAGGAGGCTGGAGGCGAAGCCGACTGCTGAGTATGCTGCTGGTAGTAATACTGCAGCTGTTGCAGTTGTTTTTGTTGTTGTAGTAGTCGCTGTTGTTGAAATATTGACGACTGTTGAGCGGTGTAACAGCACATAGGATTACACGCTGGGTAACATTGTGGAGAACAGCTGCCAGGACAGCTTCCTGTAAAACGATGCCAGTATACAAGTCAAGTCATTTTATTTCATTCACATTATTTATGTTACCATGCGAGGAAAGATACATGTACAACTATAACGATATGATAATAATAATAATAATAATAATAATAATAATAATAATAATAATAGGTAGCTTGTATCTTCATAGCCTCAAGACATTAGTTAATGAGTCATTTGGTGTCGCAGTCTAGATGTAGCATTTTTTTAAACAAGTGTGTAAAGATATAGCTGTTCGGATCTGGACATGATGATACATCACCAATCAATTAACAGGTACAACATTTGCAGATTTTTTTAAAACAAACAACTAAAGACCGCAATTCGTGCAGGATAAAAGGGAGCCCAACGAATATCTGCAGTGGTTTGCATCATTTGAGATGGAATGGTGAAACACTCCCTTTACCTACCTAGTAAGGTTCCATCTATCGAGGCAACGAACGAGAAAATCGCAAAGACACCAACCAGCCACATACTGAACTACGAGTACAAAATTCTAGGGGAAAAGACGAAGATATTACTTAGTGTTTCTGACTCTTCTTTGCTAAATTAACCCACCCGGAGTGAGACAGAGACAGGATAGATCGTAGCTCAAGGTCTAGCCTCAATAGGTTTCTCTGCTAAACGTGAGAAAAGCGTCTTTTTATCGTTCACGGAACATTTACCACACAACGGCCACGCCAAGAAGGACACCTAGTCAAAATTGAATCTATCTTCACCAGTTCGAACTTCTTCACTTTCACTTTTAGCCATAATCCCCTGGGGGTAATGAGCCGCCTTTGAACTTCACAATCATGTAAATCTGTTTAGTATGCCGGTCGTTCTAAAAACGTGCTTAAACTAAATAAGTAATGCAAGCGATCAATTGCAAAATAAAAAACGAAAAATTAGCCGTGGTGGCCCACTTTAATTTCTCCAAAATCTCAGAAGTTTGTTCATTTCTCACTGTTATTTTGCAGAGGACGACCTACGAAATGCTCAAAGATTTATAAACGCACGCAAATAGCCATTGTTCTGTTCATCAAACCTTTTGTTTGGTGAACTTCTCGTTGGCGTCGCTGTCGTGGTTTGCTTAAACTCTCTCATCCGCTGCGTCCTTTGCTGACACCAGTCAACGTAAGCCATTGGTAGTAAGAACGGCCAGTGGCCAATGGCTATGGTGTGACAGACTTAGTCATTATTTCAAGCAATAAATTGGCCTGTCATGCTTAAGATTCCACTGTGTCCCCTCTACACGCCCAGTTCAAAGATATAAGAACAATGAGACCCCCTGGGGGTTAATTAATTCAAGATATACCCTAGGCAACTTTTAACTCTCAAGTGCACACAGTGCTTAGTAGTTAACACAGAGATGACTGCAGAAAAAAACTTGGTTTCAAATTTTGTATTGTTTTACTACAAACTGGTGGATCGGTCAATATCGTAACGCCATCTTAATAATATTTCTGGATCCAATCCTGAGGACAACCGTGCAAGACAAAGTTTCCGAATACTGCCTATCGATATGATCTTGAAACAAGTGGACACTTTTCCCTTTTAATCGCCTTACTCACCAAACTTTTAAATCGGTGTTCATGTTCAATTGCCGGAACGTGGCTCGCTTGATAAACAACCTGGTACCTGTTAAAGGTTTCCACCGTAACTTATACCAACACACTATAAACCAGCCCAAACTATTGCTGTTATTAAGCCTATGAGCTCTTGAAAATATCTATGTTCAACCAGTGAATATTATTTGCCTTGTAGAAAAGCTGTTAATGCTTATAAGAAATGCGGGTGATTTTGTAGGGTGGGGAAACATGACATACTGTGGCTTCATATAAACAGTTTACGAATTTAGACATGAAAATAATTTCAACAAAAAAACTAGCATCTTGTTTCGATCGAGTTTTTTTAAACCTCTTATGAACGCTAATAATTAAAGGTAAGAGATATCACTTACCCGTATACTCTATAGAGGCTGGACTCGTCAGATCCACGAATCTTTCTAAAACGAGAACAACAGATATAAATTCCACGAGATGTCAAGAATGACAAAATATGTCGTTACCCAGTTCACACTTAAGCGCTCTTCCGATCAATACGTTACAAAAGCGAAAATATCTTTCGGTTATTTGAAAAACCGGGCACTTAAGATAATAACATCAAAATATTTGCGTAAATTACCATTCATTAAAACTGTCGTCCATTTTTTTGGTCCAACATGGTGGCAGGGTCAGAAAGTTCGTAATGGTCAAGGAATTCTAAAAATACTACAGTGATGTCATCTCACTACCCGTCGCTATGACAATCGAGAACTGGTTTTGTTGGTGTACAAGAGATACCGTAAAAAAAATAATTAGAA